GGTGTGGGGAGCCAGGATCAAGATGTACCGGGCTCAGGGTGAAGCCACACTTTCAAAAATTTACCTTAGAGGCATAACTTACCTTTTCACACCTACAGCTGCGTGATTTACCGTATTAGATGGGGAAAACTTTGTTAAAAACGCGTTTTCATATATTCGATGATTCTTCCATTTAATCAGAATACAAATTTGCAAACAATGGCATAAAGTTACCAACTGCGTGTAATAGAACATCCACCATTCAAACTTTTGGAGGGTCCTGCCCCTGGACAAAGAACTAAAGGCAACTAATGACTGCTGGGAGCAGAACTGACCTCTCCCAGAGATTAGCTCCCTTGTTGACTACCCATTGCAAAGTGGCCAGTCCTGAAAACATATACACACAAACAGCAAAATTAATTCAGCAGATATATATGTGTGTGTGTGTGTGTGTGCGTGTATATAAATATATATGTGTGTGTGTGCATACATATATCTGTAACAATAATAATCAAAGAAAAAGAGGCTATCAACTGGACAATTGGGGAGTGGGGGAGGGGCTGAAGGGAGGGGACTTGGGAGGGGTTGGAGGGAAGAAGGCTAGGACAGTGATGTCTATCTCAATTAGAAATGTATTGAGAGAGAGAGAGTCAGCCATTCAAGCACAGGGCTTAGAGACAGAAAGAAGCTCGTTCATCAGAGTGCTTGCCCAGCATGCACGAAGCCCTGGATCTGATTCCCAGCATCTCAGAAACCACATGGTGGCGCGGGCCTGTAATCCTGGACACTGGTGGCAGGAGTATCAGGGTTTCAATGCCATCCTGGCTCTATAGCAAACACACGCTATGAACTTGGACTGACATCCTGGGGAGGACGGCGTTGACCAAGGAGGCGTCTCACTTCATATCAGAAGGGAAGAAGAGCGAGCCAGAGACGGGCCCTGGATAAACTGCTGCTCCAGGAGACACGCTTCCAGGGGTTTACCCCCTCGGAGAGACAGGATAAAGTACAACCTCCAGGGTCATGGTGTGAGCACCCTAATCCTCTACACAAGCCCTACACTCTAAAATTTGCTACCTCCCACACGGGGCCTTGAGCTGAAAACCTAAGTCAACACGTGAAGCAGACAGAATTGCTCTACCTCCCGCTGGAGTGCTCAAGCCTGCAAGCCACCTGGTTCCTCTGACTAACCCATGCTCTTCTGCAAGGATGCTCAAGGCTGGTTCGCGGTGTTCCCATCAGTCATCCCATGGGAAGTTTCTGATGGGAGAGGGGCAGGGGTGCTCCACACACCAGAACTAGCTCAAATCTCTAGGATGAAGCATTCATCCTGGCTTTGCGGCCTGGGACAGGACAGGCTCTAGAATGTTAACTGGACTAGCACAGGAAAATATCTCTACTGGAGAAACCACAGGGAAAACCTAGATGGTTTTCTGGCTCTGTGACCTGAACAGCCCAATACAAAAATCATTGAGCCATGGACCTGCATGCTAATGGAGACAAGGCTGGTCTGCTGGTGTCATCTCTGCAGAGGCCCCGAGGAGAGACAGAAAGATCCCTGTGAGAGGAGGGTGCAGGTGCTTCCCATGAGAGGCGATCTGCATCGTCACCATGGAAACACATCCCCAGATGTGTTGTGAGGATGCTTCCAGAGAAGTTTAGTGGAGGTGGGCAGCACCATCCTATAGGCTGAGGGAACTAATGCTGGGGCTGAGAACCAGCATTCACTCCTCTCTGCATCCTAACTACATAGACCAGCCGCCTCAAGCCTTGTCCATAATGGACTATAGTCTCAGACTGTGGCCCCAAATCAGCCTCATCTCCTTACATTGCTTCTTACTATATATTTGATGATGGCAATGAAAGAAAAAACTACTGCACCTTCCACTCTACCTAGCCAGGGCTCGGCCAGGTCTGCACCCTCTGCCCTCAGATGCCATGGGGTCTGTTCCCCCAGAGATGGAGTCCAGACATAAAACTCATTATGCTATTCTCTCTAGGGCTCACTTGCCTAACAGCCTGTTCTGAGACTGATCGTCATTGTCTGTGTCTCATTAAGTATTTTTCTGCTGCAGTCAGACACTATCTACTTGAAGCCCTTTCTCTTGAATTTTCCTATTGATGTTTTTTGCTTAAAGTTTATTTTTAAGTAATGTCCCTCAAGTAAACTCCAAACCACTTTTAATTCTAATAAGACAAAGATTAAGCAATCTAATTTATATGCATAATGTGTAAATTAATTACATAAAATAACTTACATGTAAATTTTCATAACATGTAGCACACACATTTCTATATTTTTTAAAGATTTATTTGTTTACTATGAATATAACAGTCTGCCTCCATTTATGCCTGCAGGCCAGAAGAGGGCACCAGATCTCATTACAGATGGTTGTGAGCCACCATGTGGTTGCTGGGAATTGAACTCAGGACCTCTGGAAGAGCAGTCTGTGCTCTTAACCTCTGAGCCATCTCTCCAGTCCCCCACATTTCTATATTTAAAATAGACATTTAAGCTTATTTTCTGAGGCATCCTATCTAGAAACTGTGGGATAAAAACAACAGTGATGATTTGGCTCAGCTCCAGCTCCAGGGGATCCAACAGGCTCTTCCTGACTCCACAGGTACATTCATTCACAACGTGCACATACCCACACACAAACATAATCTAAAATCAGACTATTTTTAGCAGATCAAGGAGACTTCCTCAGGAGTCAGCGTCACCCAAGGACAGGATAGGGCCCTTCTAATTGAGCATGGAGATCGCTTTCAAATAAGAAGGAAAGGAGCTCCTATCTGTTGGGGACTGCTAGAACCTTGAACAAAATGGAGTCTGTCAACCGTTTCTTGGCCTTCCGACTACGTGACTACGAGCACACATGCCCTTGAGACAAAGGAAAAGGCTAACCATAAAAGTTAAATTTACACAGGGCAGCCCACCCGCCTAGCCAGGGGGAAGTACCCTTACAGAGTAATTGTCTTTGTTAACAAGATTATAGTGTTCTGCTGTACACTTCCTATCCTTTCCTAATTCCTGCACCTGACTTATGCTGACAAGCATGTGTGGAATGTAACTAATGACTGATGGAAAATTACAGCTTTGTCTTTACCGTATTTGGTGTATATTTGAATTGAGACTTGATTGACATGCTTGTACCACCCCCTGAGGTCCTTCCTCTATAAGTTCCAGCGCGCCCCAAAAAATAAAGGCTCTTGATCAGCGAACGTTATCTTGAGCCTGATTCCATTAACCTCTTGAAGTTCACTTTCCAGATCGGATCTGCTCGTGAAGGCCCACTAAATTAGTAGCGACCCTCATCACCTCACCCCCGCGGGTCGGGGGTCCCTTCCCGGGGGTCGCACCTATCTGCTAGTAAAGGAATTGCTCTGACAATTGGAAAGCAGATAACCCAACTGCTGCCATAATGAGACTGGGCACTTAAGAAATAAGAGAAGTTTCTTTGGTTCACATTTCTGGAGGTTCAAAGACATGGCTTCCACATCAGCTTGGCTCTGGTGAAAGCCTTGTAGCATCACAGTAGCATGTGTACACATGAGAGGGATAGATCACATGGTGACACGGGAAACAAGAATTTAGTCTCATGAGACCTGCTTTAATCCTTTCTACAGGCAAAACCTCCCGTGTCTTCACCAGCCCCCATCAGGTCCCATCCGGTTCATGCCTCCTCAGGGTTCTGCTACACATGGCTACCTTAACTCTAGGAACCAAGCTTCCATAAATAAAGCTTCTAATAGCAAACTTGGAGTACACACTCAACACATACCCAGCACATACCCAACACACACTCAACACAGACCCAAAACATACCCAACCCATCATATAACCAACACATACTTAAAACACACCCAACACAACATATGCGCAAACCACAGCAGAGAAGAAGCAGACAAGAGTCTGGATTTAGAACAGGCTGCAGATGTCTAATGACTCCCTCAATGGATTCCCTATGGTTGGGAATGAGCTCAAGCACTCAATAGCCCTCAGTCTACTCTGGGGAACTCTCTCCCAGTTTTCTGTCCACTTCTTTAATCAGATCCTGAGTTCACTCCTTCTAGAATGTCTTCCTTAAACATGAAACTCATTCTCTTGAGTCGGACATCACCTCCATTACTTGGGTGCTACAGCCCCAACTTCCTATCAGGACTGCCTCTCTGGATCTACTTTAGTTAGTTGTACTGATATTTTCATAAGTTCTAATGGGTTGAGGAAGGATGAGCTTGGGGGAAAGTTTCACTCTTCCAGTCAAACCCCCTTTCTTTTAGAAAGCTTTATTTTACAGTCACAACAAAATTAAAACACAAAAGAGAACGACTGAAAACCTTGCCAAGACAAGGTGGAGCAATCCTTCATAATTCATAGAAATATATCCGATATGCTAGTCCTATAGGCCGAATATGGATGCCCCAAAGTTGCAGTGGACCTTTGGTTGACTATCCAGGCAGCCAGTTGTTTTTGTCATTTCTCACATGTTTTGGAAGTTGCTTGTTCACATTTCCTGTTTACTCAGTTAATATTATTTCCTTCTCAGATGGCTGATGGAGTTAAAGACTAAATAGTTATAGTTTTCCTTGTTTACCAGATTCAGAAAAGAAACTCACTAAACAAATGCTAAGTAGATAAGGTTGAGAGACATAAAAAGATAATTTTGAGTTGGTAATGTAAATTAGAATAGAAAGTAAATTAGGTACAAGACTCTGGACATACCAAGACAGAATAGATAATGAAGTGCTTTCTCTGAATTTGTCAAATGCAAATGAACTAGACGTTGTTAATGTACTTATTGACTGTATATATTGTATATACTTATTGTACTTACTGTATATAGTTTTTCTTGTGTTAGTTGTAGCCTTCTCTTTTTGTGTTAGACAAAAAAGGGAGAATAGTGGTGATATATTGTTTATGCTTTATTAAAGTCTCTGGAGACCAAGATAGCAAAGCAGCCATACTTCGGTTTGCCATAGAAGCTAGGCAATTGTGACACACAACTTTAATCCCAGGATTCAGGAGACAAAGGCAGATGGATCTCTCTGAGTCCAAGGTCACCCAGGGCTACACTAAACTGAGTCAGTCTAAGAAAGCAACAAAGCTCATGCCTTTAATCCCAGCACTAAGAGGTATGAAAGACAGGAACAGGGTCTTCAGTAGTCGGTTTCAGACAGTCATTCTCCAGCCACACTGATGACAGGAAGGCGTTGATTGTTCAGCCACGCTGAGGAGAGGCAGCAATCTGAGGCTTGGTGAGAGCTCGTGGAGACAGGTCAGCCCTTTCAGCCTGAAGCAGAGGTAAGAGCTAGTTAGTGGCTTAGCTGCTTTGCTTGTCTGACCTTCAGCTTGAAGCTTGAGCCCCAACATCAGTCTCTGGGTTTCTTTTCTAATTTTTCATGCTATATATGTAGGTCACTGAGAGGTGAACGCTGAAGTTTTTAAAGCCCATGCCAGACTCAGTCTCCCCCTGCCCGTCCTTGCAACTTACAGATCAGATGTGAGTTCTCAGCTATGCCAGCGTCGGGTCTGCCTGTTGCTTGTGTTCTCTGCCATGGTTATGGTCTAATCCCCTGAAACTGTAAGCAAGTCCTAGATTAAATGTTTCCTTTTACAAAGCAGTCATTGTGCCAGCTACTTTTATTCCAACCACACAGGCTACAGTCATCTGAAGGGAAGGACCCCCGATTGAGAAAATGCCTCCGTAAGACCTTGCTGTAAGGCATGTTCTTAGTTAGTGAGCTTTGCAGGAGGGCCCAGCCTACTGTAGATGGTGCCAGCCATGGGCAGATGGCCCCGAGTACTGTGAGAAAGCAGGCTGAGGAAGATGTGATGATCGAGCCAGTAGGCGGCTCCCCTCCAGATACTCTGCGTCAGCTCCTGCCTCCAAGGTTCCTACCCCGCTTGAGTTCCATCCTGACGACCCCCAGAGACAGACTACAATGTGGAAGTGTAAGCCAAACAAACCATCTCCTCAGCTTGCTTTTGGTTACTGTGTCTTATCACAGAAATAGTAACCCTGAGACATCCATAATGTTGCTTCACAGCAATAGCAATCCTAAAACAGTCATAATGTTTCATCACGGCAATAGAACAGTAACTAAGGCACCATTTACGTGAGGATATGGGGAATTATGGTGGTTTCTTTTCATTTCAGAGGCAAAGTCTTACCCGGTAGCCCAGGTTAGCCTCAAACTCACTTACTGTATGCCCCAACTTCAGAAGTGACAGAACTATACCAGTGTGCCATCACGTCTGTCTTTGTGCAGAAAGTTTTCAAAGCACTCAGGTAAACAGCGAAGAGAGGAAACTGGAAGGATAGCTTGATGTTTAAGAGAGATTACTGATCTTCCAGGGGACCTGGGTTCAGCTCACAAACACTTGTAACTCCAGTTCCCTTTGTGCGCCCCCCCCTGCACACGTGGTACTTATAAACCTACTCGGTTTCACATACAAACACACAAATACAAATAGTGAACAAGCCTTCTACTTCCCAGCTACCTCCTCATCTCTGGGCTGTCGTTTTTGTCCATGTCACCTTATGAAAATCAGGCTCTTCCCAGATGTCAATAGAAAGAAGGATGAAGTGGAGGGAGGGGGCTGCTCTGCAGGGGAGGAATCCCTGGCAGGAGCGCATACCTGGTGAGGTGAGGTGAGGTGAGGTGAGAGCTTCTAGATCCTGGAAGATCCAGCTCCAAGTGAGAGTGTTAATTTAGACACTTGCAGGCACGACTCGCATCCACACTGATGCTTTTCTGAATGAAGACAAATTGTGGGACTCACTGTGAGAACCACAACAATGATTTGGCTAAATAGGGTGGCAATTCTGAAAATATGGTTTTCCTTTCCAATCTATTCCCAGTTTGCCTTTTTGCTGGAGGGCAATAAAACCAGGGGGAGCAGCATGTGACTCATCTCCTGACAGGGTACTGAGAAAGATGTACCAAGCAGGTGACCTGAGGGGAGCCTCAGGGGCCCACTGGTTAATTTTGCAATTCTTACCTTGCATGTTAAGGCCAAGTAAGATGGAAAATGGTGTGAAAATAAACAGTGGGAAAGCCTTTCTAAAATGCCAGGCCATTTGCAAAAGCCATTCTCAGTAAACGATTATAAATGTCTTGGGGGTCTTAAAGATGGTTTGGGGAATTTTTATCTACAAAAGAAGCCAGAAGTGGTGTGAGTTTTTAGGCATCCTGTGGAAAACCTAACACCGTCAAGGAGCATAAACTCCATGCAGGCACCAGGCACTAGGGCCCGTGTTTCCCGGAATACCTTTTTCAAGACCTTATTGTAGCACTGGAAGAGATGTGTGTTAGCAAAGAGTGAGTTCCTCTCAGACTATGTGCTTGGTATATTTTTTATCACACTGCCCTGGCATAGCAGCTCCAAGCATTCATTTGCTGAGCAGGGAGGCAGAAGTTCAGCTTCCTGTCCTTGTGGAGTAGGTAACTAGCCCTCCAGATCCTGGACATGCTGGGTGCCAGGGAAGCCTCCACGTGCTGAGGCTCCCCGTTCAGTCCTTAGGTTGTGGCATGAGGGAGAGGTGGGATTCTGTCTCCCTCGTGGAACTTGGGGCTGTCCCACTCTGTGCTCCCACAGCCCGCAGCAGCCAGGATTAGTGAGCATGGGGAACTGCTGGTGCTTCAATTCCAGTCTTCGGAGCTCCTGATGCTGCAGCCCAGCACGAGACAAGCAAACTAACCTTTGTCCACGGGCATTTAGTGCTGCCCCACTGGCAGCTTCCACAGTCATGCAATTTAACCCTGCTGTCTTTCTTTTTCTTCCTCTTCTCCTCCTCCCCCTCTTCTTCTTTGAGGTGCCAGGAATGAACCAAAGACCCACCCTCATGCTAGGCAAGAAGTACTCGCTACAAGCCATGTGCCCAGCTCTTGTTTGTATGATGTTTGGCTTCGCTGGTGACAGTCACTCTCTTAATGTATTATTGACCATGGTAAAGCGATATTTCAATATGTTCTGAAAACCTGCAACGCTTTGAAAAGTTAGCCCCTATTCACTCTTTATTAGTCATTTTTAAAGTGAAGAGTTTGCATTTGCCTCAAAAGCAACCCGTCTCAGACTTTGTACTCAAGCCTGTCCTCCTAGTCTGTTAGTACTGTACCAGTTCTGTTCCGTTGCTGTCTACAAAGCAACGGAGGAAAGCCAAAGTTAGTCTGGGCAGGGGAGGGCGAGCAGCAGGGGCAGGAGACAGGTGGTCTCATTGTCTTCACAGTCGGGCAGCCAGGAGAGGTGAGGGAGGGCTGCTTCTCCTCCCAGATTCTTTTCTGTTGGTTGTTTTGTTTTGTTTTTCGAGACAGGGCTTCTCTATGTGACAGTTCTGACTGTCCTGGAACTCGCTCTGTAGACCAGGCTGACCTCAAACTCACAGAGATCCCCCTGCCTCTGTTTCCCGAGTGCTGGGATTAAAGGCGTGTGCTACCACTGCCCAGGCTCAGATTGTTGTTTGTATTCAGTCTAGGAATCAACCCATAGATTGGTCCTTCCCACATATAAGGTGAGTCTTCCCACATCAATTAATGCTATCTGAAAACATCTGTGTCCTGCAGACATGCCCAGAGGTTTGTGTCCTGTCGGGTTGACAATCGTATCAACATCATCATAAACCTTATGAAATTTGGATTATAGCATGTAAGGAGCATTTATTCCAATAACCAAGATGCATGCCCACCTGAGGTCCCGGGATGCTTCCAGGAGACATGAGACCTGTCACTGACTCTCACAAGGACAGCTCCACAGTAGAACAGGCCCCTGCTGTTGTGTGGGGAGTTCCCATTTCAGATGAAGACTGGACCAAAGCAGATGGTGGGGGACTTGGGGACAGTGGGGGGGCAAGTCCAGGGAAATGACCACCAAGAGGGCAGTCAGGTGTGTGTCAGCCCTTTCTATAAGCTAGTGCCTTGCCCACTGTGACTTGTCACCTCACATTTGCTTCCTAGGGGCTGGCCGAGCTTTGGTCCCTCCTGAGAGCATGCAAGGGCTTTTGTCACGCCCATTTCACCTCTACCTTACCTGTGTGTATTCCTCCCCTAATCCACAATACCCTTCCCACCTCGATTTTCCACCTCAATTTTCCACCTCTCAACTTGCCCTCACAGCTGTACACCAAAGTCTCTTGTTTTCAAAGAAAAAAAGAATTTCCCGTTTGTCTTAGTCAGGGTTTCTATCGCTGTGGAGAGACACCGTGACCGCATCAACTCTTATAAGAAGAAACACATTAACTGGAGTGTCTTACAGTTCAGAGGTTTGCATCATGGTGGGACATGCTGGCAGACACGGTGCTGGAGAAGGAGCTGAGAGTCCTACATCTTTATCTGAAGACGACAGGAAGTGGTCTGAGATACTACTGGGCATGGCTTGAGCATATACGAGATCTCAAAGCCCTCCATAGTGACACACTCCAACAAAGCCACACTACCCAATAATGCCACTCCCTGTGAGCTTACGGGACCAACTCATTTCAGACTACCACACCCTTAGTTTTGTGCCTCCTCTGACACTCCTCTAGCTCTCTTGCTTCTCCTGGTCCTTCCTCAGCTCTCCGGAACCTTCCTTCCCCACTATGCCTGACACTCAGAGTCATACTCTCCTGGGACCTACATCGCCTGATGCCAGTCCCCACCTCTCCTTCCTCTTTATCTCCCGGGTACCCACGTCTTGGGAGTCATTCTTTTCTTTCATCCCAAATGGTTTTGCTCTCCTATAATACTCTCACCCTGCCCTTCCCTATTCTGAGAGACGGACCCCCCCCCGTCTCCCCCGGCACACACTTTTCAGTGTCCTGATGGTTTTCCCTGTTCCTCTTCCTGGAGTCCTCTTGCCAGCCCCTAGCTCCTCCATCCAAAGAGCATCCCGAGTGCAGCTGTCTCCAATCAGCTCAGCTGCCTCACCTACTCACAGCCTAGTCTCCCGCTGCATGGCCTATTGTCAAGTCCCCTGCAGCCCAGGCTGTCTGACGTACTCACGAGGTCCCCTGCTCTTCTGCCTCCTTGATATCTACTTCCCCTTTACATCCCTCCCTCAGCTCCACAGCTCAGTCACACTGCTTGTTATCAACCCTGTGAGTGGTGACCCGAGCAACACGCTCCTCGGGGGGCCCCCATAATGCCATGCGCTTTCCCCACCGGATAACCACCCCACTAGTTGCTAGTGAGTGGACTGCTGTCATTTTGAAAGTATTTGGTCATTCATAAGGCAGAAGGGCTTCAGCGGCTGTCACTTCCCTGGAAAAATATAGAGGTAGTACATTCTGAACACAGGCCCACATGCAAGGTCTGTTCTTACCACCCCAGGGCTTCTCTCGGTACATAGTGGTACCCAAGACTCTCACCATCCCTCATCCAGAGTGAGGGTCTTCCTAGGAGGTGCAGGTAGGCTATCCTTCCCCACCGGTACTGGGCAGAGACCATGGCCAGCCCCTGCCCCTTCCCTATAAGGAAGCACAGCATGAGATACCTGAATAAGGCAGGTGGTCCCAAACAAAGGCACTTTGAAGGCCCAGAAGGAAACGATTAGTAGGCCTACAGTCCCTGGCCCCAGGAGGACAGAGAAAGACAAAACATGCTCCAATCAGCACTTAGGCTGCTGCATTAGGAAGATGGTGAGCCCTCTCTCAGGAAGATGCCACTGATGTCCGCTGTTGTTGAGTCAGCAGCAGGATGTGGGGCATTGATCAAGTTAAGAACAATCTAGGCCACCCTGACCTCCCTCCTCAATTTTTCTGAGGTCCCCAGCTTCACGTTTCATCTGTGAGTACCTTATTATCTTTACAGTGAGAAAAAAATGGACACATTTAAGTCTGTAATTAAGTCTTTAGCTGCATAAGGAAGAGAATTCTTAGTCTCCTCTAGTTCTGCCCAGGGAGCTCTCGGTTTCCTGGAGGGCATAGAGACTTTCCTGTCCAAATGCCTTCATTCATTCCCAAAGCATTGCTTCTCTACAGAGACACGATGTCCTTAATGAAGGACGTGGTAGACACTAAGTGTGACTTCTGCAACTGGCTGTGTAGAATGCATATTCCTGAAGAGGTTAAAGTTAGGGAACAAATGTGGCCTCTGAACTTGTGGAGCTGGCGTTCTTCGGGGAATATCCTACCTTCTATATCATCTTTAGTCATCAGGACTCACTGGAGGCCAAGTGTGTAGCAGACTACAACATCTGTACTTACTTAAGAACACCCTGTGAAGTTCCCAGGGGGATTAAATCACCTAACCTCCCCTGTGTCAGAACACATCCCAACCCGACACACGGCTCTGCTGCTCATGGTTTATCTCACAAGGATCCTATTCTGACCCGGGAACCAAATGCTCGGTTCTCTCAACACAGCTAACAATTAGACAAGAACAATATTCATAGTGATAGCTGACATGACTGTGATGCTTAGCACTGTCGAACTGGCAGAATTAAGGAGACAAATCTCAAGGCAGCCCTGTGAGGTAGCTTCTTGACTGTGCTAATTTCCGGTGGGGAAACCCACCCTAACTGGGTGGCACTATTTAATGGACTGCTTCCCAGCTGGGGGATGGAACATGACCCATTGCTTCAAGCCCCTGTCACAATGCCTTCCCCATCGTAATGGACCTCAGAAGCGCGGACCACGGGCCCTCCTCCTTGCCATTGCTTGGCTCAGGATATTTTTTTATCATGGTAACATAAAGGTAGCTAAAGCAGTGACTAGGTGGGTATTTCTCATGTGTCAGAAATCTTCACTCGAGAAAGAGACGGAAAAGGAAAAAGAAGGGTCGGAGGGAAGAGGGGAGAAATAAAAGGCTCAAAAGCATGTGCTGTAGTTCAGTGAAAACCCACATATGGTGGACCATTAACAATATACAAAATATACACCAACAAAGACAGGAAAATGGGAAGTTCAAATTCTACAGTCCCTCGCCTGAGGGATACTCCTGCCCAAGTATTACTCCATCTCTCTTTCCTTAAAGACAAAGCTGATCAGACCATCACTTTATTCTCTTGCAAAGAGCAGAATTCACCCAACTGATGATGTCTTGGCTGACCACCTCACACCAAGTCCAGTGTCCTGTGTCTGCCCTCCACTTGTGATGAACAACAGTTCTCTACACCCTTGCCTTTTACCCCACTTACGTTTCTCCGCTGGCTCTCTTGCCTCCTGGTTCTTCTCCAGCCTTCTCTGTTGCAGATTTACATAGCCGGGCATCTGCTTCTTCATCTAGGAGATACAAATTGCCTGGTTAAACACACAGGATTCTTACAAGAAGTACGGAGTGCACACCACTGCGTGTGGTGGCACGTCCACTGTCCTTGTTACTATTGCATTCATTAAAGTAATAAGATGACAGGCCGGGCGTTGATGGCGCACGCCTTTAATCCCAGCACTCGGGAGGCAGAGGCAGGCGGATCTCTGTGAGTTCCAGGCCAGCCTGTTCTACAGAGCGAGTTCCAGGACAGACTCCAAAGCAACACAGAGAAACCAAAAAATAAAAAACAATAAAAATAAAGTAAGAAGTCGGCATTGGCACTTATCCCAGTTCCCAGATGAGCTATCTCTTCCGATGACTGTGTGACTGTGGAAGGATGTTTGCGGATGCCATATCAGTTATTATTTCAAACGTATGCTTCTTACCTTCTTATATACATCTTTCTTTAAGTTTTTGAAACCTCATCCTTGGTATTTTCCTGTACATTTCATTTATTTAACTAATGCAAGAACAACTTTATCTCAGACTTTCTATGAGCCATCCTGACACCCTGAGGGTTTTTCATAAATATTAGGACTTTGGAAGAAAACAATTTTGCCCTTCAGGAATTTGAGAATCTAATTAGATTAACTAAAATGCATCCATTGTTTTAGTTCTTGTAATAAATTATCTGCTCAATCTTTTCTAAATTGCTTAGACCTAAAATGTTATAAGAATGCCTTGCACGATCTATGTTGACATCAATATTGCTTAGGACGTTTCACTGTAAGATCGTGTTTGAGGCACGCTGCTATTCTTGGGTGGGAGCAATCTGGTTGAAGGGTTTGGGGGATTTGTTCAGCCTGACCACCACCACCCGTTTTCATTGTCTGACTCGTTACTCTGGCCTGGACTTCCCCTGCTCACTGCTTCTCTGTGGTGGTGCATCAGGGCAAGTCTTTCTCTGAGCACCATGCCACGTCTTTCCTGTGTCTGGGAGAGCACAGATGCACTGTGCATTAATTCAAGGATGGAGAAAGACTTTGGTCTGAAGGTGGTTAGCCCTGTTGACAAGCGTGGGTCAGCGGTGGCCTTCCCTCACCGTGTCCTGCTTTCATTTGTTGACTGTCTTCTCTGTGAGGGAATGGATGCCCTTGGGTTTCTCACTGTCCTTCTCTAAGCTCCTGACACAGTCACTCTGCTATGAGGAGATTCTCCCGGGTGCCCGCTGAATAAGTGATTGGCTCAAGTGACTACTAACTTGAAGCTCAACAACCAAGGTCATTTTAAACTCAAGGAAACTCTTCAGAGTTCAGAAGGTGAACAAAGAGGAGTGGGTGGGGACAGGGGTGGCTTCGCCTTTCAGAGTTCTACCTGAGGGAGACTAGACAGTGTAACAGTGACCACGTCCTCAGAGACAGAATTCCCAGAAAGGATAAGAAAACGCTGTAGTGGAGTATTGCTTTACCTGTGAATAATGGAGTTCTACTTCAGAGAACAAGGCACCGTTGTGGCGGCCACTTCCCGCTGACACACATTGTCTGACAGAGGTGGGCAGGATGACTCACTCCAAGGCTTGTATGTGAATGTTCATTACAAGCCATTGCACACAACATGGAACAGAGCTACACGCTGGCTGATTGACTTCTCACCTGGCTGGGGAATAAATTGTTGCAGCAGGGCTCTCCTCCCGAATCTCATCCAGAGAGACCCCAGCATCTCAGCATCTCACAGATGGCCGACAACGTAAGATCTGTAGTCACCTGATTGGGATTCATGCCAAGAAAGCTGGAAGACAGTGGGACCGCTGGGCAGATGACTCTCCAGCAGGGACTGGTGGATTGCAGCGTTCCTAGGAACAGCCGGCTTAATAGGGGAGAGTAATTGAATCGCTTTCCACGTGGAGCTAATGTGTTCTGCTCGCTATTTACAAGCTGTTTGCAGCCTCTGGGGCATTATTAGGGGACAAGCCGCATTAACACAGCAGTGCTTGCCCTAGCTTTCCCAGAGAAACAGCTGGCAGGGCTGGCACCGGCTTCTAGCCACTTTGGACTCTTCCTGTCTCATCTGTACAATAATCCAAGAACGTGTGTGCTGTCCATCTAGAAACTGTCAGGACCTGCAGCAACCAACCTCCCCACCCTCGTAAAAGGAAATGCTCTTTACAAAAACCATGCTACGAGGGGTGGGGGCGCTATGTAGAGTCGGGGAGAATGCTATAAAGAGTCTCCAGTAGGAGGGGGATGGGTGAAGACATCACAGAGAAAGTTCAATAATTGCCCAGATGCCCATGACCAGCAACAGGCAAAAGTAAGTGTAGCTCAGGCTGCCCCCAGCTTCCAGCACCTCCTCCAGACTTCAAAAGGAGCCTCAAAATCCTGGAATGAAAACAGTTCTTATCCTAACTGGGTTGAAGCCAAGAAGTGTGGGAAGTGATCTTCCTTCTGGGAACTCAGTACAGTTCGAGCTGGTGCATCAGCCATTGCCTGACACAGGCGACTTGAGGAACAAAAGGGTCGACTCCTTAACTGCTTGGGACTGTTGCTCATCACCGTGGGGAAGGCCTGGTGACAGAGTTGTGACACCGCAATTGCAGCCAGGAAGTAGAGAAAGAGTGCCAAAAGCTGCCTCCTTTCATCCCAACCCATGGGACGGCGCCACCACATTCAGGGTGTGTCGTCCGTGTCCCCCCCCGCTCAGCTGGCTACCCTAATCTCTAAATGCTCTCAAGTCAACCTAGAGCTGTGTCCGTCCCTTAGGTGGTTTGAACTCTCTCAGGTGCACAAAGAAGACCAACTGTCCCTGCCACCACCAGAAAGCCAAAGGCTGCTAGTGGTGGAGACAACCACCGAGGCTGAAGATGGAACTCAAAGACACCAGCCACATCTCCCACAGGCCACACAGGTCCTCAGATACGCATCTCTCACCTTGAAGTAACAACTGGAAGGAAAAGGAGTCTTAACCCGCAGAGTAAATAAAGCCTTCAAATAACAGAGCAGGAGGGAAGCCACAGAGTGGGATGCAGGATGCCCCATTCCTAGACGACCTCCCTGTGTGGTCCTCAGACCCGGGGGCTCCTGCTCCCTCTCACCCCACACACAAAGGGTTCACACCTGCCCTATCCCCTGATCCCACCCTGGCTCTGGATGCTGATGAAGCCCTGAGGCCTAGAGAACTTCCATAGATGGGACTTACTTTCTGGAAGTTCTGAGCCAGGCTGACCTGGAGCTTTTAAGATGAAAATACACACGTGTTCAGGTCCCTGGCTGAGGCACTCTGTACCACACAGTTCTCTGATAGGGCGAGCACGTGTGTTGGGACCAAGGCAGGCTGGAGGCGGCCCTTTCCCAACCTGTGTTTTAACACACGCAAGTGGAGTGGGTTTCGTGAGAAGGTCTGACGGACAAACCAATTGTTGGACTCCAAGCCTCCCGTCTCCTAGACCTCAACCTGTCCTCTCCTTCCCTGATGCCCCGGGCCGTCCGGTATGATGAGGACAGGTGGGGGTGGGTAGCCCTGTAGAGTGAGGACAGATTTTTGAGGCAGGGGGAGCACCTGTATCCAGGCCAGCTTGTGAGTCCCTTCTATAAGTCCACCCTTCCTTCCCAATGCATCGGCTGTCTGAGAACAAGCAGCACGCGTTTTTGTCACACGGCCAGAAAACTGTAAAGACTGTGTCCTGTGTGTGCTGTGCCACTGGGAAATGCTTCCCACGGACAGCCTGCCGTCTTTCGAGAACACAGCAAATGATCGGAAAACGCAGGCTTGGTGGGGGAGACGGTTTTGGGAAAGAGAACTGCTGGTGCCCCGAGCTTCATGTTGGAACCTTCCAGGCTCCTGGTGGCCTGATGTTCTCAGACAGTGAGGCTGGGTGAGCAAAGGCTACGCCTCAGGAGTGACCTGTCTCCTCCCCAGGACTCAGGCTACGTTCCTGGATGGCTCTGTGGCTTCCTGAGGCTCTGGATGGCGGAGCTGATCACACTGCCAAGGGCTCTGACAGAGGTGAAGGCTCAGAAAGCCCAGGAACCTGCAGGCAAAGCAGGAACCTACCACCGTGTCTGCCGTCACGGGCACGCCCCCTTCTACATCAGCCTCGTCTGGCTACTCGCTCTGGTGGCTTTGGTGCCCAATTTCTTTGTGGGGTCCCTCGAGTATGAGCCAAGCATCTACTCCTGCACCTTCATCCGGACAGCCAGCACCCAGTACACTGCGGCTATGATGGCCATTTAGTTCCTCCTTCCAATCGCTGTGGTATCTATCCTTCTGCTACCTGCGAATCTGGGTCCTGGTGCTCCGGGCCCGAAGGAAGGTCAAGGCTGAGAGTAAGCTGCGCTTGAGGCCCGGTGACTTGCGCAGTTTCCTAACCATGTTTGCAGTGTTTGTGGTTTTTGCCGGATGCTGGGCCCCTTCGACTGCATCGGCCTTGCAGTGGCCATCAACCCAGAGGCGATGGCTCTCCAGGTCCCAGAGGGGCTTTTCGTCACCTGCTACTTCCTAGCTGCCTTAACACCGTTGTCTATGGGCTCCTGAACCCGAACTTCCGCAGGGAGTACAAGAGGATCCTCTCAGCCCTCGGGAACACGGGGTGCTGCTTCCGTGAATCTTCCAAATGCTGCCTTGCTGAGGAGCTGCGGAGCCCAGTGCCACCCGCTGCCGGGGCTCCTGTGCCTGTCCAGGAGGGTGCTCTCTAGCCTGCATCAAGTGCATGGAGCTAGCAGCAGACCTTTGAAATAAGGGGAGTGGAACTTCTGTCACAGTGCCGTGCAAAAACACGCTCATACCATAGCCCCACAACTGGCGAAATCTGCCCGGTGGCCACAAGTACAACCCTGAAGATACCCCTGGTGGCAGACCGGGCATTGGCTTCCAAAGGGCTGGGGGCAGAAGCCAAACCCTACCCATGAGATGTCGTTTTCCCCATCTGTGACTGATGCTGCCTCTTCCTTGAAAGGCCAGCAGGAAGAGATCTCTTTTGATCACCTGGGCTGAAAGAGAAAAATCTGCAGTATTGAAGGTGGGTAACTTTCAGAGAACCAGCAAAAAAGGGCGGGTGCAGAGGGTCCTGCCCGTCGGCTTTGCTTGCATATCACAAATGTACCACACCACATACTGTATCCATTCTACTACACATGTATGTGTACCAGATACATGTCACACACATACATCAGACACACGCCATGCATACTCCAATACTATGTGCATATACCCCAGACACATGCATACCAAGCACAACCATATACGATATACCATAAACACACACACACACACACACACACACTCCCGCACCAAATATAGTACCACACATAAACATACTGCATACATATACCCCAGAAACACACCGCACTCATATACACCAGGCACATACATAGAGAACACACAAAATATTCACCACATACAAACATAGCACATATGCACACCATGGTGCTTTCTTCAGACATTAATTGAGTATGCTTAGTGAGTATGGTCCAGCAGGAGAACCGTGATGTCTGCCCTCTGGGAGGTCAGTCCGACAACAGGCTGGTATCAGCAAAAGTTGCAGGGTGTTTTTCTTTTTTTTTTTAATCAGTCACTATGATGAATACTTGATATGTTCTACCATATCAAATCCTTTCAAAATTATTACAAATAGATACTATTACATGTTTGTGGAGTAAGAAAACGAAACTCAAAACACTTAACTGGTTGTGTGAGTCCACAAAGGTGCAAGGTTCAAAGCTAGGCGTGAAGCCAAGCCTGTCAGCACTCCTCTGGGCCCCTGCAAACTTGGGAACAAGTGGCAGAGCCACGTTGAGCTAGGTTAAGCACCTTATAGGTATACGGTCCACAGGGAGAAAGGACAGTTACCTTAACTGGCCACGGAACTACCCTTCTGCTTGATGGACCGGACAGTCTCTGCAAAGGCGCTTCCCAGTCATCTCCCTTCTGTGACCTTCCTTGGGACTCCTGTTTTGAGCTCTCTAGGAAACCCTCAGCCTTCAAGGGACCTCAAATTCAGGTGCAGACTTCTGACTGCGTTGACATCTGAGGTCATCTAGCATTTTGACCACCATGAATCAGGACACACACAGACACCTAAACCTTGTCAGAGACACCCTTAGGACAAAGAAAGTCACAAGAGACTGACAGTTTTTCCTTAACAAATAATAGCCAGTCAGATATGCTACAAATCGTTGGCTAAAAAAAGAAAACAATAGTATGCATAAATAGATAAATAAAGTAAATCTGAACTGTTTAAATTTTCCAAGGGGCAGAGGGTTTTAAGACAGGATCTTATATAGTCCAAACTGGCCTTGAATTTGGTTTGTGGCTGAAGGTGGCCTTGAACTTGTGATCTCTCTCCCTGCTCTACTTCCTGGGTGCTGGGATGGCAAGCATGTTTGCCACGTCACCTGGCTCAGAGGAGCACATTTGAAAGTGTGTTTTGTGCCAATGCCAAGCATGAAGTCGGTGTTGTATAGTAGAACACTAGGAAACTTCCATGTGTGTGTACAAACCTGAAATCTTTCACCCCTGACGGGAGCCGCCTTCTCCACGAGACCCTACTTCCTTCTCTGGGGGGTGACGTCATTGGGAGCCCTTACCGGAGCTCATGCAGCGCATGCCCTTCTGTGACTGGACCATCCACGTGAGACAGTGTCCTGCGGGGTTCCTTTGTGTCTGTGTCGTTGCTTCCAGTGAGAGTCCCTTCCTCCGTAAGGAGGAACGACTAGCCAACTGCCCATCCGCACTACAGTGCACTGCCACGTGACCCAGCAACTGCAGCTCTGATTGATATTCACCAAGAAGAGGTGAAGTCAAGACCGCTATGACTCGTGTGCACACCCGTGTCTGTGCTGGTGCCGCTCAAGAGCCATGACGTGCACGTGTCTGCTCTACTCAAGTGTTCTGACACTTCCAGGCACCTAGATGAATTTCAAGTGTTGGTTCCGTCCTTAGTGTTTTGGGGAAATGGCATGCTGTTTGACAAAGCGGTTGCGTGGTTTAAGTTCAGCGGAAATGCTAGCAATGGCTGCTTGTTTCACTTTTAGCTTTTTCGTAGTGGCTACCGCCCTAAAAGATAGAAAGTGACTGAGAGTTCATTTGAATTTTCTAATGCTCAGTGATTATGAGCATCATTTTAGAATCCCATTTGTGCATGTACTCAAGTTTAGCTATAGAGTGAGCATTTATGCCTCCACCCCAGACTATCTTGGAGGTGCGTTGTGAATGGATCGGAATGAGACTGGGGTGGGTTGGGTGGGGTAGCAGTTAGCACATGAGGGCAAAGAGTCAGTGACTAAGTTTACCACTGCTATAAACTGATACCTCTGAGAGTCTGATGCCTCTTCTGCCATGTGAGCTCAAGCGAGGGGAGTCAAGCTGCAGCCTGAATCGAGGACTCCTTGGGTTCTGCAACTGTCAGAAACTAACTTCTGTTGTGTTCAAGGCACAAAGTCTGTGGTTTTTCATAATAACTGCTAAGGCAAATGAAATAAAGTATTCTGTCTCTCTTTCTTAAACTTTGAATAATTTGCTTTGGTTTTGCTATTGACTTATAAGAGTTGCCTTTAAAATTACATGTTGTTTTACTTTAGAATATCAATAATTTTACACATATATTTATAACATCCTTTAGTAACCAGAGTAATTAGTAAACAGAACCATCACATCAAAGTCTCATTTCTTAGCATTAAGACCATTAGAAATCCTCTGTTCTATTTTGAAATATAAACAACAGTTATTTTTTTATTTATTTTATTTATTTTTTATTTTTTTATTTTTTGGTTTTTTCGAGACAGGGTTTCTCTGTGGCTTTGGAGGCTGTCCTGGAACTCGCTCTGTAGACCAGGCTGGCCTCGAACTCACAGAGATCCGCCTGCCTCTGCCTCCCGAGTGGTGGGATTAAAGGCGTGCGCCACCACCGCCCGGCTAAACAACAGTTTTTATTTCTTACCATCACCTTACTGTGCAGCAGCACACCAGAGAGCTTAGTCCCCTTGTCCAACAGTGACGCTGTACCCATTGATATACACGACTCCAAGGAGTTTCTTTACTGTTACGGATAATAACTCCTCATAAGATTTATTGCTTACAGTACATTTTCACAATTCTGTGGGTTATCTGCTCACTGTTTCTTTTGATATGCAAATGACTTTCAGTATGATAGCTTCCTTATCTATTTTTTTGTTTATGATTTTTAGATCTAATCAGAGAAATGAATGTTCAGACCAATAAAACTCCCTCACCCACACTCACATTTTCCTCCAGGAATCTAAGACTAGTCCATTTTGAGTTGACATTTGCGGTTGGCATAAAACAGCCATCTACATTCAAACTTAAATAAAGAAAAATAAGGTGAGCATGACAACATCCTAGACATTTAAGATGTGATCAAGGGATCAAACCAACAGGGAAAAGCCCATGAGGCTCAACCCTACACAAAGAATGACAGGGAACTGAAGTACTCTGGTCTCTGGGAGTGGGAGAGGTGGGTTCTCCCCAGGGAAGAACACTGGTCTTCCAGTGACAAATGGTCAGCCATGGAAACACACAAATAACATTACATAGACTTTGCGTGTTATATTTAGGGATATATAAGTATATATGTATCCATATATGCATGCAATAACAATTGCTAAAAAAATAGGGCATGAATTTGAAGGAAATCAGGGAAGAGTTATGGGGGGTTTGGAGGAAAGAAAGGGAAGGAAGAGATGTTGGTATTATAATCTCTGTTATATTTAGAAGTACATAAGTATATCCATATATGCATGCAATAACAACTGATGAAAAACAGGCCATGAATTTGAAGGTGACCAGGGAGGGCTCATGGGAGGGTCTGGAGGAGAGAACTGGAAAGAAGAGATGTTGGGATTATGATCTCAAAATGGAAAAAAATACTAAACTCAAGAATCCATGAACCAAAAGGCAGTGAGCTTGAAACTAAAGGTTTAGAGAATCTATTCAACCAAGTTATTGCAGAAATTCCTCCAAATCTAAAGGAATAATGGACATCCAAGATCAAGAGGCATTTAGAAGCAAAAATAAACATTACCCAAAAAGACCTTTCCACAACATATTGTAGTCAGAATGTCAAAAAAACAAAGCAAGGAAATAATCTAACAAGCTGTAAAGGGAAAAACGCCAACTCACAACTCACAAAGGCCAACGAATCAGGACAACAGTAGAACAGCAAACATACACTATCACCAAACTGCTTTCATCCCAGGGATGCAAGGTTAATTCACTACATTCAAAGTAATGTAATATAATGTATAAATAGACTTAAGAGCATAAATCACATGATCATATCGGTAGATGCAGACCAGGTCTTTGTCAGAGTTCAACATCTTTCCTGATAAAAAACAAAAAAAAGAAACTCTAAAGAAAATGGGAATCGAAAGAATAGAACTAACACAACAAACATAACAAAGGCTATAAATGTCAAACCATTAGCCAACATTATGCTAACTGGAAAAAAATGAAGAATGCCTCCCCTAAAATGTGCAATAAGATAGGGCACCCAACTTGTTCACTGCTGTTCAATACAGTGCATAAAGCTTTAGCTAAAGTAATGAGACAATAGAAAGAAACAAAGGGGATATATAGGAAATGAAGAAGTCAAAGGATCTTATTTGTAGATGGCAATATTCTGTACTTGAATGAAGCTGAATACTCTACCAGGAAGGACCCACACCTAATACACACCTGT